ATCGGGCTCCCTGCTCAGCGGGGAGTCTGCTTCTCCCTCTGACCCTCTTCCCTCTCATGCTCTCTATCTCTCATTCTCTCTCTCTCTCTCAAATAAATAAATAAAATCTTTTAAAAAAAAATACAATAAAGGGTAAAGGGATGGAAGGGTACATAAAATTTCTAGACTTCACTCAAAATTGTTAAAACATCAACACTAGTTTTGTGATAAATTATGTAAATATAATCCCTAAGCAACCACTAAAAAGGCTGTACAAAGATATGCACTCAACAAGACTGTAGATAAATCAAAATGGAATTCTAAAAAATGTTCAGATAATTCACAGGAAGAGAGGAAAAAGAAAACAGAAAAACAAAAAACAGGAGCACCTGGGTGGCTCAGTTAGTTAAGTGTCTGCCTTTGGCTCAGGTCATGATCTCAGGGTACTGGGATCAAGCCCCACATCAGGCTCCCTGCTTAGCAGCGAGGCTGCTTCTCCCTCTATGATCTCTCTCGCTCTCACTCTCTCAAATAAATTAATTAATTTAAACAAAAAAAAAAACCAGAGAGAACAAACAAAAAATAAAATGGCAGACTAAAGCCCCAGCAAAACAATGGTAACATTGGGGCGCCTCGGTGGCTCAGATGGTTAAGTGTCTGCCTTCGGCTCAGGTCATGATCCTATGGTCCTGGGATCGAGTCCCACATTGGGCTCCCTGCTAGGCGGGGAGCCTGCTTCTCCTCTGCCTCTGCCTCTGCCTCTCTCTCATGAATAAAAAAAAACATTAAAAAAAAAACAATAGTAACATTAAATGTAAATGGTCTACATACGCCAATTAAAAGATAAGAGAATAGCAGAATGAATTTAAAAGTATGACCTACTTATATGGTGTACAAAAAATTCACTTCAAATAAGACAATATAAGGAGGTTGAAAACAGAAGAATGGATAAAGATACCATGCATACATTAATCAAAAGAATTCTGAAGTGGCTATATTAAAATCAGATAAAGTAGACCTCAGAGCAAAGACAAGTACTAGATAAAAAGGGACATTACCTAATGATAATAGCTATGATCCAACAAGAAGACAAAGCAAACTTAAAGATGTATGTACTAAACAACAACTATAAATTATGTGAAGCAAAATTTAATAGAACTGAAAGAAAAAATAAAACATATCTACAATTAAAACTGGAGACTTCATGACATCTCTCTCAACAACTGGTAAGACAACTGGACAGAAAACCAACAAGGATATGGTAAAACTCAATAGCACCATCAACTTACAGGACTTAACTGACATTTCTAGAACACTCCACCCAATAGCAACAGAATAAATACACTTTTCAAAAGCAGCAAAAGCATATACCAAGACAAACCATATCCTGAGCCATAAAACCAACCTCAACAATTTTAAAAGAACTGAAATCAGAGTGTGTTCTCTGACCATAATGTAATCAAATTAGAAATTAGCAACAGAAAGATAAAGGAAAATCTCCAAACACTTAGACACTAAATACACCTCCAAA